TCCCAGCACACCCGACACAAAGCAAGAAATCAACTGCCCTGTAAAGGCGGAGGGAGCGACCTTCCCCTCCAGCCCCTCACCTGAGAGCCTGGCCTGGCACCACGGAGAAGAGCCATCCCTGCCCGGCCGTCCGCGCAGAGCCGGGGGCGACACTCGGCTGCGTGGCCAGGGGCCCGAGGGCAGGACGGCGGGGCCTTGGGCGAGGGCAGGGCTGGAAGCAGCCTCGGCGGTAAAGGTAAAGAAGGCCTTGAAATACCTAGAAGTTTCTTACTGTCCAGTTTCTGCCTGTTGAGGGGGTTCGTGCCGTAGAGCAGGGCGTGCGCCTCCGAATGCACCGTCTGCAGCTCCTCCAGGGTGGCCTTCCGACCGCGGATGCACTGCGGGGACAGAGGGGAGAGGGCGCTCAGGTCACCCGGGTGTCTGCTGGGCTCAGACTCAGCACAAACCAGTACCCCAGGGGAAAGGAGGTTCTACATGAGCACAAAGTCGTGCGGTTATTGCTAAGTAAAAGGCAACATCACCCAACACGGTGTCTTTAAAATACTTAAAAATGTTTTAAAGGATTTACGCTTTAATGATAACATAGAAAAACGTTTTAAAAAGATAATTCCAGCCTTCAACGCTTTAACCTTCACTGTCACACAGGTGACTTGGCACCAAATTACTGCTTTGCTTTCCAACTGGCGGGGTCTGCTCTTAAAAAAAGAAAGGAGCTGCCTAGGGTGGTGGGGCTGCCACTTAATTCCCAGGAAGGGGAGCCAAGCCCGACCCCGCGAGCATCGCTGAGCGTCAGGAAAAGCAGCCTTCCTGGGAGCGGGGCTGAGGGACAGCCTGCAGCACGCCTCTCCCCCTACCAGCTGGCCGTTCCCACCATCAGTAGGTCCGTCTGCATTTTTCTTCGGTTTGGAAATTCCTCAAATCCAGACCCCTTGGCTGTTCTCAGATTTTCCCCAGAAACTGACATGAACATCACTACTCTTGAGTTGAGCTACATTTACTTAACCTTTTAGAATGAGGCTGGTTTGTAAAGCGCGATTTGAGCTGACATTGTGCACTGAGGGGCGATCTGGGGGTCAGAGTGATGCAGGAAGAGCCAGTGTGACCCCGGAGGGCCAGGGGACACGAGGGCTCACAGGGCCAGCCGGTGTTCCCGGGCACAGAGTTAGAGGCAGGCCAGGAGCTGCACTCGCTCCGGAAACCTCGGGGAGGCTCCCAGCAGACGCCTGCACGTGCAGGGGTGAAGGGAGAGGGTGCTGGAGGCAGGCGGCCTGGCCTCCCAGCGTGGAGACAGCCACGAGGCTGCAGAAAGGCTCTCCCACCCCCTGCCACCCTCCCCACTGCTCTGGGTAGGGGACCGGCTGGGGGAGCTCTGTGGGGTGGACTCCCTGCCCCGCCTGGAGGAGGATGCATCCAGGATGTGTCCGCTGGGGCAATGCTGCCCCCCAGTGGTGCAGACTCGCCGGATCCTGGAGCCAGTGCCCACCACTCTAGCCCTCACCAACTTCAGGGTCCCTGTCCTCCCCAGAGGGCCTTCAGGATGGGATTCTGGACCCAGGTTCCTGCTTTCCCCTCCAAAACTCATGCATCACAATAAAACTGGAAAAGAAATGAGGCCATGTGAGACAGACTGCCCTCAACTCCTAAATACTCTGGCTTCGCAAGGAGGTGGGGCTGGACCCAGGGAGTGGGATTCTGACCAGGCCCCCCACACCCCCAGCGATGTGCCGCTCCGGCCCTGGCCCAGGTGGTGCTGGGCTGTGAAGGATAGACGTGGTTGGGTCTCTAGGTTTCCAGGGTCACTCTGCAGGGCAGCACCGCCCTGTGCCCAACCCTGGCTTTGAGGGTTCCCAGGGTAGGGGGACAGCAGGTCCCCACTTGGTGGGCACGTGGGGGCTGGGCATTGATGGGGGACACAGCTAGGGAATGGCTTCCCAAGGAAATGACCAGGAGCAGAAGCATGTGAGATAGGGTGCAGGATGGGGTGCAGGAGAGGCGGTGCAGGATCGGGGGTGCATGAAGAGGGGGAAC